TTTCGTTCATTTCAAAACTTGGAGGGGCGGCGGGGTAGCCTCGTGGTTAAAGCGTTCCCTCATCACGCGAATACCTGAGTTTGATTCCCCACATGGGTACAACGTGTGAAGCCGTTTCTGGTATTCCCCGCTGTAAGATTTCTTGAATGTTGCTAAAAGCGGCGAAAAACTTAACTCACTCACCCACTCACCCACTTTACTTGTACTCAGGTATTTTATCGACATTAATTGATAAAGGTTCATACAAGTGTGAATGTAAACTAAACTCACTCACTCTTGAATTGAGATAAACTGGTTCTCTGCAGCCTGAACGGATCGATATTACATATGAACTGAAGAGACAGAGCCCAGTGTACCATATAAAAGATGGTCTCTGATTACAGCAAGCTGTAATTCTGATATCAAGAATCAATAAATTCAGCGGTAAAGATAAAATAAACATAAGGATCTTACTGTGTTGGCAGATTATATTATGGAAAGTGTTTGTATTTTACGGACAAATAAGTCTCTCTTCGGTCTGTAATAAAGTCACACACACAGTCAAAGCTAAGGTATGATCGAGTTCGCATCAATTTTACCAGCCTTTAATCAAATAATGATAATAACCAACTATACCCAAGTGCAGTAGATTTCTTCTGTACAGCAAATGGCGATCAGTGTAAAACTCTCTGACAGTTGGAAGTACAGAACGCCTATTGCATGGCGTGCAAATGTATTGAATGTAGAAGATCAATACCATTCTGACCTTTGCACCCTCGTACAAGACATGACACAAGGACTGTTTCATCGAGAAACTGGGTGTGGAAAAGAATGATGCACATGAAACCTCAACGGGTGTTGGCAATGTATCTACTACAACTACTACTACTACTACTACTACTACTACTACTACTACTACTACTACTACTACTACTACTACTACTACTACTACAGACCGCCTCCGTGGTGTAGTGGTTAGAGCGTCCGCCCGGAGAGCGGAAGGTCGCGGGTTCGATCCCCGACCGCGTCATACCAAAAGACGTTAAAATATGGTACTTGTTGGTCCCTGTCTGGCGCTCGGCATTAATGGGTACAACAAGGACTGGTCGGCTCGGAGTCAGTATAATGTGTCTGAGTGGGGTATTCATGCTTCACTGCGGCATGGTATCTCAGTGGGCTAGCACTATAAAACCAGCTTAAGTCTGGGCTAGTACAAGCAGCCGCACATACACATACACATGCATGCACGTCGTCATATGAGCGAAATATTTACTCAAGCACGACTGCTCCTTATTTCACCTCACTTCACCTCACCTCACCTCACCTACTACTACTCACCTCACCTCACTACTACAGTACTACTGCTCCTTATCCTCTTTCGACTACTGCAACTACTACTAATTACAATGTATATTAATATTGCAGAATTGTACCGCTATTACTACTACAACTAGTACGACTGCTTCTTTTGCTACTGCTGTTTCTACGAAGACTACTACTACAACCACTTCTAATGCAGAGGTGTACTTCTACTGCTTGTACTGTTACTACAACTGCTCCTCCTCCTCCTCGTCCTGCTGCTGCTGCTGCTGTTGATACTACTACTACTACTGCAGTGTTGTACCGCTATTACTACCATTTCTTCTACTACTGCAGCTACTATGGTTATACGGAAAAGACAGGTGCCGGATAAGACAATGTTTTAATGATCATAATATCGTTGTAAAATGGCGGGACCAAAATTTTATGCCGGTTTTGACAGTGTGCCGGATTAGACAGGTGCCGGTGTTAGCAGGTTTTACTGTACATCACTGTTTTACTTTACGAGATTTAGTTAAGAAACAAACCATACGTTGATTATTGTTCAATAACACAGCGAGTAAGTGGATATTGCTTTACTCCGCGGGCGGTGGGATAGCCTAGTGGTTAAAGCGTTGGCTCATCACGCCGAAGACCCGGGTTCGATTCCCAACATGGGCACAATGTGTTAAGCCAATTTCTGCTGTCCCCCGCCGTGATATTGCTGGAATATTGCTAAAAGCGTAAAACTAAACTCAGGCAGGCTTTACTCCGCATTAGCAGTTGTGAGTGTTTGGCGGCGAGGACACTTCAGGAGACTGAACCATGAGGCGGAATCCCCGAGTGGTTGATTCTCTGTCAAGGGTTTGTTACAGCCATTAACAACGACCACGAGTCGTTTACTTCATGTATGGTTTATTTACACAAGTACAAAATGTACAAGCTTTATACATAATTACCCACTTTAATATAATGGTGACGACCAGGATACAAGATCCATTATTGGAACAAGAGGGCTTGGTATTTCTACAGTTCTTATTTCGATTATCTGTATCTTAGTGCCACTGTGGGTGCGATAGGTCGGCCATTGTCTTTATCAGCTTTGTCAGCTACATCAAAGGGGAACAAGTCACTATATACCGTCGTCCCAGTCAGCAAGTTTCTTCTCTGTTGTTTCTATTGCGAGATAGCTATCTCATTTATTCACTTAAGAATCATTAGAAGTCTAAAATATGTGCGAAAGACAAAAGGCCCGTTAGGAACACATATATTCACTTGAATAACCTGAAATAATCTTATGATTCCTATATATCCGTTCGTAAAACTAACATCTGTGTTCGTAACGCATACACTTCTATTCGTACTAATCACATCCGAATTCGTAAAAATTACTTCAATATTCGTAAACTACGCTCCTGTTATCGTAAAACTGTGTCCGTAACCTTCCCGTTTGTATTCATAAAGCTCGTGTCTGTCTTCGAGAAATACTTAATCTCTACGGACTCTCAGATCTCTATTGATAATACGGGGCGGTGGGGTACCTAGTGGTTAAAGCGTTCGCTCGTCAGGCCGAAGGCCCGGGTTCGATTCCCACATCCGTACAATGTGTAAAGCCCATTTCTGGTGTCCTCCGCAGTGATATTGCTGGAATATCAATCACTCATTCACACACTATTAATAATATATATTCGGAAAAAACCCATACACCAGTATTAGTAAAGCTATTCGGATCCAACACATCTATATTCATAAAACTTCCATGAATATTCATAGAACATCGGCATAAGTAACAGTAGATTTGTATTCGAAAACCCCGTTTCGGCATACAGTTCTATGTGCGCTAAGAGCCATCAACTGAAGACACCGCGGTCACTCAGTTCTATGGTCAAGGCCAAGTAGAAACTGGCTGCAGTTGAGACGGTGTGTTCGACATGTTCCAACTCATCCATCTGCATTGCCTCGTCTACCACCGAGTCAATACAACCCGTTCTCCTTAGACACTGAGGGTGGACCGCGTCACGGGAATTGTGACAGGAATAACGGTACTTCCAGGGCGGTCCGACTGTAGATCGGTTATTACGGGAGGGGTGCGATATGGGATTTATATTAAATAGACTATTACAGCTATGCATCTGATAGTGAGAGCTTAACGCCGCTGGTAGAATGAAACCCGCCATGTCACGGTGTCGGGTTATTGTGCTATTGGTCAGGTTGGTGCGAGATTGTGAACGTGAGATCGCGAGAAACGCGTTTGGGACAGTGAGTGAGTTTAGTTTTACGCCGCAGTCAAAGTATTTCAGTTGTATCACAGCGTTTCACTAAGATCTGAGTGAAACGCTCGAAGTCACAGATGTTTAACACCTTGTTGAAACCCTTGAACACAAGGACGGTGTTGACAAAACAAGAACTATATCAGCGCGAGATTGGATCTGGAGGACTAAGGGACGCAACTCTGCACAGCTAATTGAGGCTCCTAAAACAAGCAGGCCAACTTTACTCTCAAAATTATCGAATCCACAACACTACTTTTTTTGTGTGTCAAGATCGCACGGTTAGCTTTTCACTTTCAGTTATTCATGTCTTGTTATTATGCAAGAAATACAAAATGATAAAATGCTGAAAAAATAGGCATCATGAATATTTTCAGGAAGTTGTTCATGCAAAATAAATCTCTCTGAATTACTCCTGACCCCTCACATCTTTTGTGGGGCGGTAGGGTAGCCTAGTGGTTAAAGCGTTGGCTCGTTACGCCGAAGACCCGGGTTCGATTCCCCACATGGGCACAATGTGTGAAGCCTATTTCTGGTGTCCCCCGCCGTGATATTGCTGGAATATTGCTAAAAGCGGCGTAAAACTAAACTCAGTCAGTCAGTCACATCTTTTTTTCAGAACACCTCATCAGCATCAGTTCTTGATCATAGGTTTCGGGTATCATAGACCTTAACTTTTCAATGCCTATTTACACCCCAAAACACATTTCAATACGTTTGTACTTTATGTTGGTCAATCTAGTTCTCAAATGTCTACTTTTTTTGGATGTCTACTTTCTTTTAAGAATCTGGCAGTCTGTGTTGGAAATAACCCGTCCCGGGCGGTCGGGCAGGCAGGTGTTTTGAACGCTGACATTCCAAGAATATGATCAAAGGCAAAATAACAAGAAAGTCCTTCAGGTATGTCTTGAAATACACTTCTTATATTATGTGTAGATGTGTCTTTCCTAGTTAGGTTGTTTTTTTGTTTTGTTTGTCGTTTTACGCCGCACTCAGCAATATGCCAGCTATATGGCGGCGGTCTGTAAATAATCGGGTCTGGACTAGACAATCCAGTGATCAACAGCATGGGCATCGAGAGAGAGAGAGAGGGTAGGTAGGTAGGTAGTTAACTATTGATTGAACTAGGATTCCTGGGCTACTAAACCGCCTAAAGTTCGTCTCTCTTTAGCATAAATACTAAACGGATATAAAGATTGTTTATTTATATTAAGTTATCTTTATTGATAAATTGGACTAATTTAATATAATGTAAAAGTCAAATCAATATATTTAACTGATCTTATCGTATTATTGATATCACTCAATCCCCAAATATGAATGGTTTATCTACCGCCCGCAATAACCCGTTATTAGGACATATGAGGTTGACGTCTTCGCGTTGAATGAAAACCAAGTCTTATAAAGCCATCATAACGAGGTCCTCAGCCTTATTGAAAGTGCCAACTCGAGTGGGTGAGACTGTACTGAAGACGGCCACGAGAAGACATTAGGCGTTGTTGTGGATACCCGCATTATCCCGTGTATATCGTTACCCCCTTATCAAGATCGGGGGAAGGGGTCACCAAGAACACCTGGACTTTACCTGGATACTCAGGTGTGAGAGATATACCTTAATTACTGCTAGGAGACTAGAATAAGGAACTTTCCTTTGAGGTCGAGTGTAGCTATGTTGTGACGAATACACAGTGACAGTGTTGAAGCCTGACTCGGGTTGAAGGTGAGTACGACATAACCCGCCTATCAAGTACTAACCACGGTCCTAATACCAGTGTAAGTATGATAATAATCATCCTGACTAGTAATGCAGTAAACTACGTTTGTATCGAACACTCTTGATAACGAACAAACGGACATAACGAACTGTTTCTTGGGTTCCCACCACTCGCTGTATATTTTAGTTGAAACGCGTATAACGAACTACGGTTATGACGAACTAAAATTAGTGGTCAGTTTGAGTTCGGTATAACCGTAGTTGACTATATCTCAAGTAATAGTCAATTCGATTACTAATCAATATTTTGGGTTGTTTATCTGATTTTAACAGCTGATCAGGTATGCTTATTACAGCACCTAATGACGTAGTACTGGGCATGTTGTCTTGACTATTGAGTGGCATTGACTATTGATTAATTTGATTTTCTGGACTTAGGTATCCCTCCCACTACGTACGGTCCCTACAACACTGAATAAACGATGCCTTTTAGTATTGGGGTCAAATGTAACACGTCAGTAAAGAGCAAATTCTAATATATTTTGTGGAATGAGTCCCATCCGGGATTTGAACCCAGACTCTCACAGTGAGGTACCTAATTTATAAAAGAAGGTGGCTGAGTGGATTAGATCGCTGACTTTCTGTGCTTACGAGTAGATGCCTTACTCAAAGAATCTACTGATCTACATCTTTAACAAATGAATAATTTAGAACAGATAAACGTAACTTAGGGACCCTACAATAGCAGTTCTGGCTATAAGTTAATGAGGGAGTGAGTGAGTATGGTCTGACGCCGCTTTTAGTAATATTCCACCGATATCATGGCGGGGGTCACCAGAGTGGGCTTCACACATTGTACCCATGTGGAGAATCGAACCCGAGTCTTTAGCGTGAAAACCGAACGCTTTGATCACTAGGTAATCCCATCGCCCAATATATATAAGTAGTAGTAATAATAATAACTGAAGGCGTCAAACGTTTTAGTGTATATCTGAGTTCACGTACAGTAGCTCTGAAAGACATTTTATCAGTAAATAAATGGCACATGTTCGCGTTCAAATTGTAATACCTATCACAGATTTAGCAACCCTGACACTTTTACAGCCAGCCCTCCGTTAAGGGCTTTCCTTAATAGCCTAAGTGCTCAAGCCGAAGCAGTCGCGGCTTTTCTGTAGGCCAGTGATCTAGTTCACCGTTAGCTGTAACCCCGTGATACTGTACCCATGCAGTGCAGCGAATTCAGGGTATATGGAAGTCGATATTGGCTGTCAATAAACGCTCGAACACTGCTGGATACCATTGTTGTGCACAGAGACAAGGACATAAAATCTACACATGTTTGGGGATTGCATTCCTCTTTCATTGTCGCCCCGTCTTATGGCGCGGAACCACTGAATAGGTGGTCTCTCCACTTGATTGATAGTTTTGGGAGATTACCGGTATGTTCAGTTATACACTATTGAAGATGAACATTCTTGAATATGATCCATAGCAATTCTAAAAGATCCCCGTGGAAGGGGATACACGATGAAGTCATAATGAAAGGGAACGATCTCTATTAAACACTGTCTTAAAGTGATAAGGTTAAGATGATTCGATCGAGCCAATTTTATTTTTACTTTAAAGTAACTGTTTACTTTATTTATGAACCACTAGCTCCTTAAATTGCCACAATCCCTAATGTTGTAACCCATGAAGATCCGTGTTAGAATTGATCTTCAGTAATCCATGCTTGTCGTAAGAGGCGAGTAACGGGATCAGGTGGTCATGCTCGCTGACTTGGTTGACACATGTCATTGTATTACATTTGAGTAGATGGATGTTCGTGCTGTTGATCACTGCATTGTCTGGTCCAGACTCGATTATTTACAGACCGTCGCGGTGTAAAACTAAACCAAACCCCGTGGTCGCCTCTTACGACAAGCATGGGTTACTGAAGATCAATTCTAATCGGATCTACACTGGGTTACATTGATGAAGGATTGTAATATATGTGTTGTACTGCAGTAGGCGGTAAACTATGTGATATTATAACCACAATGAACTGTTTTTCTGTGACAAAGAAAACAATTAATTGTGAAAGTGATTACACTGAAATATGTGGGCCCGCAGTTGCTCGGTAACCAAACTGAATCGATAACCTGGATGATTACAGTATCAATCACTGGCTTGTCGGGTATTGATTTGTAACAGGCCGACGTCATGCAGCTTGAACATGCAGCATTACAGGTTGTCAACAACACGAAATGCAATTTTTGATTACTCTCAGGGGGTCCATAAAATCAAATAACAGTTATTGTTGCTTTCAACCCGTTATGTTTATTTCCAGGTATTCGCAGCAAGACTCACTGGGGATCGTCAAGTGATTCCTTCATGGATGGTGTGTAACATAGCAAAATGTTTTGGGTTAAAATGAAACGTTTTGGATAACATCTTCGACAGAGATACGTGGAACTTGAATTCGTTTTGTGTGACAAGGATTTTCAACTGCCAAATACAAACAGAGTTACAAGACATTACTTAAACGTTCTACAAAAATCCATCTTACATTTCCGGTTCCGGTTTAGCAATGGCGGATCCGGTTGTTAGTTCCCGGTTTGGACAACGTCCGATCTTAGAGGTTCCCGCTCTAGAAGTGTTCAACACAAACAAAATGGTAGGCTCGTTACAAGACGACAACCCACGATCTCATCCGACGTTCGGGCGAACCGGGTACACGGCTCCACAGCCCGACTACAGCCGTTACAACCACATACCCCCGTACCCGTACCCGAACATCCCAAGCGGACATGCTCCACCCATACCGTCGTACTTTGGAATTAACCATCATGCACCGCGACAAGTTCAAACAGTTCCGGCGTACAGCCAGCAACCGGACACCCGTTTTTACACGTATGGACCATACGGGGAGGTGAGGGGAGGCTCGGTTCAACCCACGTACTATAACCCCTACCCTGGGGTGCAGAGCCCGTATTATGTACCCCCACCCCCTCCTCCACCACCCGTACCCCCACCGCCAATGGCTCATCACGTGACTGACGAGAGTTTCTTCATGGAAGGGTGTTGGAGTTTGGCCGGCTTGTAACAGTGCATCTGAAAAGGTCTTCAAGGGATTTTACAGGGTTACCGGATTTTATGAAACGAGAGTTGAAAGCAACGTACGGGAAGTATCCCAAAACTGACATTCGGATTACATCGGATAAAGGCGAGTACCACATCTACGCCAAGCCGCAGGGGTATGCTGATGACGCCGACTACCCCAGGGCGTTCCGGACCCCGGCTAAATTCGAGCAAGAAGCACATACCCGCAGTTATCGACCCCGGGATGTTGAGAGATGGTATGACTGGGACCCACAGAACAGGCGGGATGATGATGATTATTTTGAATGAAGCAAAACCAGGAACTACATCATTGTGCAGGTCCAGATATGGGACATTGGGTAGCATGGTGTACCATCGGGTGACTCAAATGGAAATTCTGTCAAATGGAACCTAGTGGTTAAAGCCTTCGCTTGTCACCCGGAAAGTCCGGTCTTGATTCCCTTCATCGGTACTATTTGTGAAGCCTATTTCTGGTGTCCCCCACCGTGATGTTGCTGGAATATTGCGTATAAAAAGCTGCGTAAAACCCGACTCACTCACCGATAACCGCCGTACTGTGTGTGTGTTTAGCAGTGACAGTGTTCCTCTGCTGTTTCCTAAACTTGTTTTTTTTAATAAAGGGGGAATTACCTTCATGCTTATATCTAATACAGTAGAACATTTCGGAGACAGAATAAATAGTTTGTTGACTCAGATACAAGCATTTCAGACATTCTTGTCACACGTCAGTCTGATGACGGAGCAGTGAGTAGACATTTACTGGGCACGCCATTTTATACAAGAACATCAGAGCATATAAATATTAAGCAAGCGTTGGGTTGTCATGGTGGTTAAAACGTTCGCTCGTCAATGTCGAAGACCCAATTCCAGGGTTCCGCTCCCCACATGGGTTGTCACCAGGTAAAGCCAATTTCTGGGGTTTCCAGGACTCATATTCCTTGCTAAAGGTGGCGCAAAACGACATTCTCTCACCAAACAGGCTCTCGTCTACACCTGTTTGGGTTAGTTATGCCCTATATATGTTATGAACATTATTATGTCTGCTTAGATGCCAATATGCTTTGGCTTGTATATGTATGTAACCAGATGGATTGTAACATATATTAAAATGGTGTTTCTCGTACAGCCGGCTGTATGCGTATGGTCGGTGTGAATCAAGTTTAAAAACTTCAACTTTATAATCCGAGTATACTGATAATTCCCTTTTACCTTAAAGGATAAGTCATCTCAGGCAATCCACTGTAGAATTGCTCCGAGTATTGTAATTCCGTTTTACCTTAAAGGATAAGTCATCTCAGGCAATCCACTGTAGAATTACTCCGAGTATTTGTCTGATGTCCACATCAAAATCCACCTGACCATCATGCAATAAAACATCCACAATTTAAGTAATTGCTTTCTTATTGATGGATTGGATCAGACTGAATCTGTGGGCATTGTGGATGAAATGAAAATCTTCGAGAAACCTATACTATTCACACTTTGCTATGGATCAAATCATTGATTCAACAGAAAAGTATGATGTGGGGTCTAATTTGGTTTAAATATCTATTAGTAAGCTTATTATAAGCATGATCCTAGGTTTCAGTTTGTCATTTCATCTTGTGGATCCCAAACCTGCTATTGACAGGTATTGTGTACTTGTCAATGACTCGTTCCATGATTTGCAAATTGGTTGATTGGTGCCATGAAAACCATTTTTATGGTTACTCATGTATCATGTGCATAAGGTTAGATTAAAGTGGCTGTTTGCCTAAAGAGGGGTCACCATAGCATTATTTATCTAGTTTTAATTGTATACACTTTCAAAATATAAATCTACGTTTAGGTAAAGTTGGGAATTTTTGTGATCCTTAGCAAAGTGTGAGAAGTTTATGTATGTCGTAAAAGGCAACACAGTGGATCGGGCGGTCAGTTTCAGTGACTTCATTGGGTGAGTGAGGGAATGTGGAATGTCGGGACAATATTAGAGTATAATCAGGCCGTTATGATGGGTCTCTATCTGTCCCAGCTCATGCTGTTGGTCACTGGATTGTCTAGTCCAGACTCGATTATTTACAGACCGCCGCCATATAGCTGGAAAATTGCTCAGTGCGGCGTAAAACTAAATTCACTCCTCTCTCACACACACGCTCACTCACACACACTCACTCTCTTTTTTCTATCACACTCACTCCCTAAGTCACTTCCTCTAAAACACACACACACACACACACAGCAACAAAGGTAATAGTTTAAATACACATCATCGTAATAGGTCGGTTCCTTTTCAAATCTTAGTATTGACTTGTGTTTAGTCTTCAATGAGGGCTTGATATGCGGATTTCTTAAAAAGGGAATATCCACTTATACCGAATTGTCCTTCCAATAAGCGAGTCTGCACAACACAAACCAGTGGTTGACAGCAAGAACAACGTTCAGAAACTTTATCCGTGGTATTATGATACACGTGCCACTCAGAGACCAAGATCACTGCTGATTGGCTGGGGCGTGTTATAAACAAGACCCGTGAGAATCAACGGTCACGTGTTGTATATCGAGAAAGTTCATGGAGTTGGGCCGTTGGAGTATATATTGTAGACGTGTCTGAGTGCCAAAGTTAGACAATAAATTACCCCCTCTGTCGTGTAACGCCAGCATGACAATGGACAGGCCCAGATTTAAGCGGATGGATTGATATTCAACACATGCAATAAACCAGTCCTAAGATTAATTCCTTGCTTTGCATAATCGACACATTCATATTTCTCTGTTGATTTTTATACCCTTTTTAATTTTTTTTTTTTTTTTATTCACACCAAATCATATGTCTGGCTAGTTTAAAAATGTATGTGGTTAAACGACAAATTCTACTTGAATGTGAGTCAGACACTTAGATCTAGGAGTGCTGCGTTGTTTTCTAATACTTCATGCAAGCTCATGGCGTGGAGATTATCGAGTGTACACCTATGCTGAAAGATATTGCAGCGCACTTGTACGCATTAGATCTAACTATTATGGTGTCAACGACATGACAAGGAGTCTTTGTTCAGTGGAAAGTGAGTGAGTGAGTGAGTTGGGTTTTACGCCGCCTTTAGCAATATTCCAGCAATATCACGGCAGGGGACACCAGAAATGGGCATCACACACATTGTGCCCATGTGGGATTCAGTGGAAAGACTTTATGATAAAAATTGTACAACAAATTAGGAACATAACTTATTTAAGTCCTTTTCTTTGTCAACATCTACTCGGGTGTTGAATGAAAATGTTTTTGATGAGTAATTGCGAAACATAAATGAACAATAAAAGAAATTTTAAACAATACCGTTCAGTCCTATATGTTGATAACAACGTCTGGTTTGTTTCTGGCGGCGTTTCGATGGAGGTTCTTTCACGATACAGCAATGAAGAACTGTAAAATAAAATGGGGCGATGGGGTAGCCTAGTGGGTAAAGCGTTGGCTCGTCACGCCGAAGACCCGGGTTCGAATCCCCACATGGGTACAATGTGTGAAGCCCATTTCTGGTGTCCGCGCCATGTTGTTGCTGGAATATTGCTAAAAGCGGTGTAAAACCAAACTGAGTCAGTGTAACATAAAATTGGTGAATGTGGTGGTGTCGGCAAAATAATGACATAGTCTTAAGATCAATCTCTCCTCAACACCGTCCCCACCTACCAAGATGACATCCCCTCCCCATGACGAAGTACCAGCCACATGTCAGCCTCTCTTGTTTAAATCACATAGCTACATGGCAGTATATTCATATAGCTTATATTCAATAATCAAGTCTGGACAAGAAAACCCAAAACAAACAAACATCAAATAACAAAAAAGAAAAAAAAGGCTGTGATATTATGAGCAACCAAGGAAATTGATTTCAGAGCCTGGCCACCCGAACCATTGGACGCCACGTGCAGCAAGCGTAAGATGCTGGGCACATTTACCATGAACCTGTAAATAGTTGGAGCAATGACCTAGTATTGGCGTGACCAAACCCAACAACTCTCGACTACCACAACTGAGGACGGCACAACACTTGTGTTTCCAGTATTTGTAGTTGGCAAGGATACCTATATCTCACTACGTCACTGAAACATGTGTCTCCACTCTGTGGGGACAAACAAGGCGCGCCGAGTGTTCTCAGCAATCATATAAGTAACTCTGCTAGTTTATATACATAAGATTGTGAATAGTTTAGAGACAGGACCTTATTAACGGAGAGATGAAAGGTGTTATATATGATCTGGTTTACCGAATGCGGTCGCCTTTGTTGTGATGATCTTAGATCTTTGGTCTAATTAACTACCCTGGTGTATTTATTAGATTATTACCTATAACCTACTTCTAAACACGACTGACGTATTTCCAAGTTTTTGATTTGAGATCGGTAATTCAACCGGAGACATTACTGAACGAGTCCAGCATAGAAATCATCTGGACAGTACCGTCCGTCATGATCGATCGCGCATGTTCAGGTTTTTGTCAAACCTTTCGCACGTTGTACAAACTTGCCATTGTGTTGAAGTGGACTTAGAGAAAGAACCTTCCCCTTTTCCTTCATTGGATTCTCTATTAACGAAGTTTCTCAGCCACATCAAATATACTGAACATCATTGAAAACGCACCACTTATAAAAGTTCAGATTATTAAAAGCACGTGTAAGGAATTGATACTTTTTGAGAGGATAATAACAGATGGACGACTGACAAAAAACAACAACACAGAAAAGACGTTCATTCATTGAAATGTTCCACAGTCAGAAAGGATCAAACACACGTGGGGTCAAATCGAAAAATCAATATCGCGTGCGACCGCCATTTGCATTGACACATGCAGTTCAACGTCTCCTCATGGAGTCAATAAGCGTCTTGAGGATGGCATTCCACTTCTGCAGTAGTGCAGCCTTAAGTTCCCGGATGTTTCGCATCTGTTGTCGCCGCGAAAGACTTTGACCAATTTCGTCCCACAAGTGCTCCATGGGGGATACATCTGGCGACTGTGCTGGCCAATGAATAACCTGGATGTGTTGCTGGGCCAGATACTGCGTGGAAAGTCTTGTTGTGTGTGCCCGTGCGTTGTCCTGTTGAAAAGTATGGACATCTTGGTGGTGATTGAAGACAGATACGATGTGATTCTGAAGAATCTGCTCACGGTAATAAAGGGCATTAACTCTCCCTTGACAGACATGAAGGCAGTCCTGTGATTGTAATTTATTCCACCCCAGACCATGACACTCCCACCACCCAAAGGTCTGTCTGAACCACACACTCATCAGCATAACGTTCACCACGTCTACGCCAAACACGTAATCGGCCGTCAGCAGTACGTAGATGAAGACGTGACTCATCAGTGACTACCACACCATGCCATTGTTGTAACCTTTACTGAAAATGCCTGCTAGCCCATTGTATACGCTCATTACGGTCTGTCAGTCAGAATTGGTCCAACGTAAGGACGTCGAGCATGGAGCCCTGTAACGTGTAGACGGCGTCGCATAGAGTCAGCGCTGATGACCCCACGTCAACCTTGAACTAGTGCAGCAGTCCTGGCAGTCGGCAGTGTTCAATCACTGATATGGACAAGGTCAATATGGCGATCCTGATGGAGCGTCGTAACACGTTGTTGCCAAGGTCATTGAAGCTCACGGGTGCTGCCTGTCTACTGATGTCGTCTATGAAGCATAACGATGGTGGAGTGGCCAAGTCCAAGTTGTCGAGCAATATCCCTGCTGCTGGTGCCAACCTGAATCATGCCTAGTGCACGTTCTCTTTCGTGTGGTGTTAACCTCGGCATCTCTGTCCTCGTTTCACAATCGTTAGTGAAGCAATGATAATCGGTTCTCATACACCTGCTTTTAATGTCAGTCAGTATGATTTTAGAATGAAATTCGCGCTTTTTTCATGGCGTGGCTGCATGTTGATGCATTTTGGAATTAAGAGTCATACTGTGTACAGGAATTTGTGGACAGCATTTTTTCAACTGGATATGCCCTTTGACTTCATGTTAGTTATATTCATTGATCATTGTCATATTGAAATCCATCTTGATGAACATATGGACAATTTTAGACTGGTGCGTTTTCAATGATGTTCAGTATATTAATAAAGAAAGGGTGAATGGTGTTCTTGGTATTCACTGACAGATATGATTCACATTTGAAAAAATCGGAACTGTTTTTTGGTCTTTGGTGTAGGATGGCAAAATTACTATCATTCGTGATGAATACCATACCCTTTTAGTTAGTCATCTTAAATGGAACTGGGAAAAACTCCTGCCCACCCCTACTTAGGGACCGTTCATAATTTATGGCTTGGGTGTGTGTGTGTGTGTGTGTAGAGGGGATGATGATTTTTATGGAGAAGCATGTACAATGTGAATGCCCCCTAAAAATTTATGTACAAAGTAATTGACCCCTGCATGTCATGTACAAAGTCAATGACCCCCCCCCCTTTCCACATTTTTATAGCATAATTTTAAAATATTTCATGTACAAAATTGCTGCCCCCTAGAAATATGTGTACAAAATTGATGACCCCCTACCTCCCCAGAACAAAATGGGTGACCCCCTTAAATTCATCATCACCCCCCAGCCATAAATTATGAACGGTCCCTTATTGTCAGCGTTCGAAATTAATGTCGGTCCTTAGGTCCCAGGCCAACTGAAAACCACTCGGACCCACAGCTTTTGTTATCTGCAGGTCCTTATGTCCGACAGCTTTTTCATCCCCAATAACTAAGAATATTATGTCCATATTAAAATATCGGGCCTACACATTATGATCAGAGTCCACAGTTTTTTTATGGTTCTGGGTCCATAGGGCCTTCAGCTTTTCAGGGATAAGGGATATGTATCAAGGATCAATCAACCCATTTAGAATACTGATATATTTGAAAAAAACCCAAAACCTCTGCCTGTTTAATGTAATACGTATACATCTGTGTGTGTGTGTAGTGAGGGTGATACTTGAAGGTGCAGTGATTATTGTAGAAGGGTTTATGTACATATGTAGGTGAAAGAAACAGGTCCTTGATGCAGAATATACACATTGTGTAATAGAAAAAAACACACAACTATTTACATACATTTATCATTTTGTATTTGTGATAACATAAATGTTGAATCTAATGGAATACAACTGGATTCAGCAAAACATTAGTTAAAGTTTCATGGGAATGCTCACACTATCCCAAATACCTTTATTTGCATGTTATCTCAATGTTGCAGTTCTGCTTGTTATCAATAGAAATAACCTCAATTTCTAACCTGGAATATAGTGAAATTCAAAACAAAGAACATATCATTTTCAGGAAACTATTCAAGTCATAATCAGCTATGCATAACACTGACTGACTGACTGAATTTGGTTTTACGCCGCTTTCAGCAATATTCCAGCAACATCACGGCAGGGGACACCAGAAATGGGCTTCGCACATTGTACCCATGTGGGGATTCGAAACCTGGGTCTTCGGCGTGACGAGCCAACGCTTTACCCACTAGGCTACCCCACCGCTCCAGCTATGCATAACAAATGTCAAGGTGTTCATTATTTCAGAAATGACACAAAACATCCATGGTTGGCTTTCTTTTCATTTTAAATTTTCACAATGGTAGCATCATCCTGAAATATACTGATATCTAAAACAGTTCAAAATAAAGAGGTAAGAAAATAAGTTCAATATACTGTATTATAGCCTCCACCTTATGAACTACCCTCCCCACTGAAATGGGTCAAACATGCATGTCAAACTGTCAAACATCACATACAAGCACACACAGAAATGTTCTTTAATAGTTGGCACTCACACTGTTCAAGTTAACAGTAATGGCTTTAGGAGAAACTTGCTTTTATCAGTTTACAGATTAAGCTCAGCATGCTAAAGTCCTGATAAGATATGCCAAAAATAGATACAGCTTAATTATTTCCAGTATCTTCATTCTGATGTTTAAGATAAATAACGGAAACAACTGCAAAATATTTACAAAATGAAAGTAAACATGAACTTAACTGATTAAGTAAAGTATACATGTTGTTCAGCAATCTTTCTATATATGTCACAAAGTGAACAAAATTCATCATTTACAGAATAGCAATATATTTAAAAAAGATAATGACCAAAGCTTTATACAAATTCATCATATCCAGTTAATTTGTCCATGAAAATTTGCAACCTCTGTGGCCATATCTCCCATCCAACACGACACCTGGGTTAGAATTGGTCTTCAATAACCCACGCTTGCCGTAAGAGGCAACTAACGGGGTGATGTGGTCAGGCTCGCTGGCTTGGTTGACACATGTCATCGTATCCCAATTGCGTAGGTCGATGCTCATGCTGTTGACCACAGGATTGTCTGGTTCAGACTCAAATATTTACAGACTGCCACCATATACAGCAGAACACGGATATAACGAACTCCAAGGGACCAAGAAATTTAGTTCGCTATATCCGGCGTTCGTTATTCACATTTGACCGCCATCTTGGATTGTAGAGATGTGGAGACACGTATATGCTGAGGCTACAAATCTTTATTCTTGTACATGTACAATGACATAACATTAAAATTCTGAATTTATCATTCACAGACATTAGCTAGAAAATGTTTAACAATCACAACAATCTCAACAATATGTTGATTCGCCGCCAACAAGGTTGATGTATACCGCTAAGTGGCTGAGCTGACACTGAGCTGACACTGAGTGAGTTCGCTAATCACGTCGTTAATTGGGCTTGGGGGTAGTAAATCAGTTTGCTATAGCCGTTAATTCGCTACTGACGAGTTCGTTATTCACGTATAATTTTAATGATATTATAAAGGACTGTTGACGGGACTTTTAAATTTGTTCGCTATATCTGTTTGTACGCTATATCCGTGTTCGCTATATCCGTGTTCTACTGTAGCTGGAATATTGCTGAGTGCGGCGTTAAACACCAAACCAAACCATCATACACTTAAGGTCATGTCACAGATAACCTCATACACCCGAATACACATGGTCAGGTCACACTCTCTCATATAACCAAGGCCATACATAAAAGCTTCTGTCACATGTCATTCACTACGTCATCTTCCACAACATCCTCCACATCATTCCAATCACTCCACTTGCTCACACTGGGTGTCACACATCATCCCGACACCTCGGACACCAGTTTTTTATGTGTTTCGGTATTCTCGGGGTTAAGGTTGATGAGACGGTTACTGGACTCGGCCAGGTCGGAGATGGAGACACGACCGTGTTGTCGGATGTACTTGGCTACATCCTCCAACTCGTCCATGGTGATGTAGATGAACTTGCCCCGGTCGTCCACTACGCCGGTCAACTGACCCTCGGCCTGGAGGTCCTGGACTCGCTGTATCACATCCTGGGCGGAAGACACATTGAGTGAGTGAGTGAGTATGGTTTTACACAGCTTTTAGCAATAATCCTGCAATATCACGGCGGGGGACACCAGAAATGGGCTTCACACATTGTACCCATGTGTGGAATCAAACAGGTGTCTTCGGTGTGATGAGCAAACACTTTAACAACTAGGCTACCCACTGCCCCAAACACATTCAGAAACAGATGGAGGAACAGATACAAATAGAAACACCCATACAATTAGATGCAGGTACATTTGTGTATGATGTGCTCGTTAAGCTGCAAATGCAGGTATAGGCTCAGGTAAATAAAGAAAAAAATAGGGGAAACTCATGCTTTCTTGAAATAGCTTCTCCATTACACAAAAAGATCTTTCCAGGCTTCCATGTCCTTGGCATACAACAATACAAGTTTGGGCAAAAACGTCCATCTGAAAGTGGGACTTATTACAGGTTCAACATTGCATTCACTGCCATAACATACTAATCATTAATGTTTCTTCATCCTCATTAGCCATAACTAATCATGACAACAACATCAACAACATAATGAAAAGGACAGATTTTTAACACATTTAAAAATATGCCCAAAACAGCCACTTTCTTATATTCTCTGCTGTGCATTCATTAACATCTCACAGTTTCATAAGGGACTGTTCATAATTCATGGCCGATGATTTTTATGTATAATGTGAATGACCCCCCTAAATGTATGTACAAAGTAGGTAACCCCCTGCATGTCATGTACAGAATCAACGAAGATCCCCCCTAGTACATGTGTACAAAAATGATGACACCCCCCTACCTCCCCAGAACAAAATGGATGACACCCACTTAAAATCATCATCACCCAGCTAGCCATAAATTATGAACGGTCCCTAAATGGGGAAGCAAAAGGAGAAACATCTTTACAGGAACAAAAGTAACGCTTTGAATAGTCACTCCCCCAAAACAAGTTTCATCTTTTATTTTATATTCAGGCCAGACCAATTTATTTCTTGTTTTACGGATCCGCCGGTCGTAATTTTTCAAGAATAAGAACAAAAATAAACATTAATTTTCCCTGCTTAAAAAATAAAATCCATATGTTTTTATTGGCCAAAAATGAAAACTTACAAGAAAACTTTTTTTTGCATTGTTTTTTGCCCAATATACAGTTCATAAATTGCCAGAAGCAAAATACTTTTAATATTTTGAAGGAATATTACTTTAACTGGTGATTTTATTTCTATTTAATTCCCTCCTGCCTTTCGGTTTTCTGAGGGACCAAAATCACTAAAACAAGACATAAAATTGGTCTGGCCTCATTAAGAAATCAAGTTCGGGTCACAAGACACTTTTTTTCAGCTACCATCCATACTGCGTTCAAAAGATATCCATGCTGATCCATTTCGAAGTCAGATCACCATGTACATTCAGTCACCTTGCACCATGTGCAAAACAAGCTTAGCAGGTGACAAATTCTAATGTGAATCACCAATGGTGTAAGTAAGTACGACCCTAACAGTACATAACGGTATCTATTACTGAGCTTATGTTACTGCATATTACATTCATCTGGTGATCAACCGCACGATCAATTATAATACATAAGATCAATTTCCTGATAATCAATCACCTGGGAGTGTAACTGGCTAGCTCAGTGTCACATACAAGCAGGTAGCGCTGTGATAAGTGGTCCCCACCCACATGCTACACTTGACAAGCAGATCACATGTAGACCTACTGTTGTTCAACAGAGTATGCCTCTCTTATCTCTTGTTTGATTTAGTTATTAAAGATACACACCCCTCTCATGTGCTGGGATTTAGATTTACTGTTATATTCATTACACAGAGGCAAAGCATTTTAAACTGTGTTTCTGGACTAAGAAAAAAAGGATAACTAGCTCCATGGTGTGGGTATGTCAAGTAAATGTACAAAAGTTGTTACAAGTGCCTGTTTGTCTGTCTATTTGTTTCTTGTTTCACACTATACTCAGAAATATTACAGCTATATGAAGGTGGTGTGTAAATTATTGAGCCTGTAACAGACAATACTGAGACAGAAATCATCAACATTAATCTACGTAATTGGGATCAGGGGCGGATACAGCTTTTGGAGAAAGGGGGGGTGCACACTATTGAGAAAAGGGGGGTGCACACTATTGAGAAAAGGAGGGGTGCACACTTCATTTTCACCAGAGTTTCTATGGTCATTTCAGGGCAAGGGTGGGTGTGTGTGTGTGTGTGTGCACACCCCTGCACCCCCCTCTGGATCCGCCTATGGGGATATGATGATCCCCAAGTTAGTAACCCCGATGACCCGATCCTGTAGGGGTGCAAGATTAGTTCTTTCCCCGATCATCATAGGTTTGCATGCTGTGAAACTAAACCATTGTCACTGTTAAATTTGGATAATCTCTGCTGGAACCATACCAACTGAGGCTAGACATTCTTACTTTTGTTTGGTTAATAGATTACAAACATGAAAACTTTGACTGGCTGGTTGAAACAATTAAGAAATCACTAAATGTATTGAAAAACTTAGTTTCTAATATTCTTAGAGTTTCATTTTGATTGTAAAGTGATTTAAAAAGAAAATGAATATATAAGATTCTTGGTGAAAGCTATCTTTGCCACCACTGGTGGTCAGTGACAATGTTATGATTACAGTAATATTCAGAGACTGTTGTGATCAGAACACTGGGGTAAAATAACCATCGCGTCAACAATTTTTTTACAACGAATCTGAAGACAAAAGATTAATAAGACTTGACAACTAAACCAACTACACAATACTTTTATCTCCTAAATGTATACGCATGTTGAATTTAGTACTATGCAACACCCATTCATTGGTGTGTCTAACTTCTTTATTAAACATACCAGTGTTGTCAAACCACTAGCCCAGCAGATATTGTGGGGCTCCCAAAAGGATACATTTTTTTCAATCATTATTTGGTGGTCTTTCAGTCAACATTTTACTGACCCTGAGGACTGAGACATTCATTTTCACATCACGTCATGTGCATGGTGTTAACTCATGTTTGGAAACACAATCTATACTTGTGTATTTTTGTAGTTTTACATTCTGCCTTGCAACTCACCTGTGTTTTTAGTTTAAAGTGGGCTGCCAGGTCTTCCAGTATCACCACCTTCATATCCTGCAGAACAATAAACAATGATGACACACTGATGACCACACTGATGACAAACTGATGACACAACTATGGTCACATTGATGACAAACTGATGACACAACTACGACCACATTGATGACATAACTATGGCCACATTGATGACACAACCATGACCACATTGATGACACAACCATGAACACATTGATGACATAACCATGACCACATTGATGACACAACTATGACCACATTGATGACACAACTATGACCACATTGATGACACAACCATGACCACATTGATGACCACATTGATGACAACCATGACCACATTGATGACACAACTATGGCCACATTGATGACACAACTATGACCACATTGATGACACAACTATGACCACATTGATGACACAACCATGACCACATTGATGACACAACTATGGCCACATTGATGACACAACTATGACCACATTGATGAACACAACTATGACCACATTGATGACACAACCATGACCACCATTGATGATGACACTGATGACACAATAATGGCCACACTGATGACACAACTATGATTACACTGATGACACAACTATGAAACAAGTATGACCACATTGATGACACAATGATCACACAACTATGACCACATTGATGACAAACTGATGACACATAACACAAGTATGACCACATTGATGACACAATAATGACCACATTGACGACACAATGATGACATAATAATGACACACTGATCGTACAAGACAATACTCAGGACACTTGTGATGGAAAAACATGATGACAACTCACGACACATAGATATAATAAGGTGACACAATGGTGACCACCCTGAGGACATAATAATGACCACAAAAAGTCATCCTAAAGATGTATCATGTGAAAACGACACTACTGTGCATGCACATGAATGAATCACAGAGGGACAAATAAACAAAATTTGGCTTTCATTGTTAACCTCCAAATCAAGAACTGCACCATTCACCATAACAACTCATTAGTCAATGACATAAAAACATGTACTCGTTCACTCATTATCATACATATTCTACAAGCAAGTATTTACAAATACCACTGAAGATATTTACAATACCAGTAACCAGAATGAGAATTCCCCTGATAAGTGTTCTTCTGAGGAATCAAACAAGAGTTACTTCCCTTTATCTACTCAATGACATTTGAGGAGTGTTTTAACCCATTTTACACCACCACTGCTATGTAACCTGGCTACTTTTTGCAATATTCCTGCAATATCATTATGCAGGGACATCAGAAAAGGGCATCTGACCATACACCAATGGTGGGACCATCTAAAAGATACATACAGATACTTACTAAAATGGAATATGGCTTTGTTTTTCATCTGCCACAAGTGACAAGAAAAAGATACCTTTTCTTGAGTGGCATTTGGCATTATATTGTGTTAAGTATTTCAGTGTTTCAATTAGTCTGCTGAATTAATTGCAACTGAAGTTCTAACTTTGTTGGTATGTGTAAAACACATGTCATTAGTATACCTGAAACGTACAAAATTCCAAGCTGGCCTGACTACCTAGTGCTGTTGAATGCATTCTCCCCCTACGTTAACTAGGTACGTGCGTATCATAATTTGCCACTCCACCAGATACATGTTCAGATCAACTCAATCATACCTTGATATAGTTGATGAATTCTTGCAGTAGAGATTCCGACTGAAAGAGAAATAAAGGAATGAAGTGTGAATCTCACAAATACACAGGGCTGTGTATTGGAAAACAGATTGTATTGGAATATATTGCGATTCAGGTACCCACATATTGTGATACATATTCTGATATATTGGGAGCTAAAGTGTTTCACTGCGAGTGACACAGATTGACACTGTACATGGAGATCATATTTTCGAAATACGAAGGCTGTAGAAAGAAAGGTAGGGTTCTGATAAAAGCAATCTCAAAATTAGGTTGAATAGTTAGTGATTCTATTTTCTTTGCAAACAATGTAAAGCATGTGACAGAAAAACAACCCTCTTTGGTCATGCTAGGTGGGAAATTATTCCGTTATTGAAATTAAAAAAACCCGTCATGGAGTACTTGTCATAACTTTGACGGTTGCAAGATACAGAATTCTCGATTCACTTAATACTACATGGGCAAAACAAAAGAACTCAGGGTTCCCCTTAATTTTGAATACATTGAGGGCGTTTTATGACTGCAGTCATGATCATACAGTGTATTATGAGCCCATTCTATTTTTCTATTAAATATCCACAACCCATTCTGAATCCAATATTGGATACAAGCATTGTTTGCAAGGGATGTATGCTCCCTACTTCACACAAGGAAACATGGGTAAAATATCCAGAATAAATGCAAACCAGTATTTGTCAACACATATTCATTTCCTTATCGATTACAGACACCACAAATATCACATACTATACAACAGTAAACAATGGACAAAGGCACCACGTTTCTCGTATTTCAAGTCATGCATATTTCTGTTGTGAGCTCATGACGATTACACAATAAGTTATCTAGCACATGGGCATCTCCTAAGGCAGACAAGACAAGACTACACTTGGTCTTACATTGAGATCCAGTACAGCATCGTCCTGTCCTTCTTCATCCACGGAGAACATCTCCTTCATCTTGAGATACTCTTCGTGTTCTTGTCGCTCCTTCTCCTCACGGATCTTCTTCTCCTCTTCCTCCTGAAGTGTTTAACGTGAGAAGTTATCACCCATGCATTCTGCATTCTTCACATGTAAATGAGATGTGAGCATGTATCTTACATGGCAGCAACGAGTAAGAAAATCCTGAAATAATTCTCGAGGTCCTTTACACTATGCATGACGAGGGGGTGGCTGGGTAGCCTAGTGGTTAGCGTGTTTGCTCGTCACACCCAAGACTTGGGTTCGATTCCCCACATCTTTACAATGTCTGAAGGCCATTTCTGGTGTTCCCTGCCGTCATATTGCTGGAATGTTGCTAAGAGCGACGTAAACCTAAACTAACTATACTTGATGATGCCCTCTATAGTCTCAACATAGGCTCCAACCCACTTAAAGTCTCAACATAGTCAATAAACCCTTGTCTCAATGTAGCCTCCAACCTCTTCTTTAGTCTCAACATAGCCTCTAACCCACTATATATAACTTCCTTAAGTGGCATTTAGAAGCTGGAATCATGAAGTGGAACATTTTTTATATACCCCTGTCTCAATGTATATATTTCTCCTTGTGCAAAACCATTTCTTGATCTTTAGTCTCAACATAGCTACTACTAATTGTCTATCCATAAAAAGTGTTCCACCACTATATATAGTCTCAATATACCCTCCATCTCCTTTTTTAGTTTCAGCATTGCCTCCAATGCCTACTAAAATCTCAATATAGCCTCTAATTCCACATGAAGTCTCAACATTGCTTCCAACTCCTTCTAAAGTCTGCACATACCCCCCAATGCCCCTGAATCAATGCTGACTACACCTTCCACATAATCTCACCCTTGCAGCTTCCTCCAGCTTCTCCCTCTCGTCATCCTTCTTCCTCTGTTCATCCAGCAGAGCTTCTCTCTTCTTCCTCTCAGCTCTATCCTCCAGTTCTTGCTGAAATAACAAATTATACCATCAGATAATGTTTTGGTTAAATAAATTACATTGTTTGCAAATGTCTGGACATGTAAGAACACTGAGCAACATACATACGAGTCATGGTAGTTATTGGTAGTAGTCATGAATGACAACAATGGCGATTAGGTAAGTTTGTTTCTTGGCCTCAACTTAATAGGTGGTTGAAATGGGCTTCACACAATGAACCCTTTGGGGTTATCAATTTGTATTTGTTTGAAGTTTAACAATGCACTTAGCAATATTCCAGCTATCTGACAGCTGTCTGCAAATAATCGAGCCTGGGCCAGAAAATCCAGTGATCAATAGTATGAGCATCAATCTGCACAAATGGGATATGATGACATGCATCAACCAAGTCAGCGAGCCTGACACTAGTGACAGGCGACCGCTTGAACCATTATGCTACCCATAAAAATCTAGTAAATACTTAACTGATGCTATATGTCAAGAGAGTACTAGAGAAGAATATGTGACTTTCAATTTTGAAGCACTTTATCAGTACACATATTGGCAGACTATCACTGACCCAAACAATGTTCTTTATTCTGTTACTATTCATATTCTTTTCCAACACTAGTAGCCCCAAATCAGAAGCTGTATGGATGATGACCATCAGTATGCTTAGACTGTTGTCAAGTCTTTTGTTTAACCCCACAAACCTGTGATCAATGTTATGAGCAACAATCCAATGACCAGGGTGATAATACACAACCAAGCCTCTTAATCTCACCACAAGATCCATAAAGTTGCCAGTTTTGATTATTTAAACCAGCATAGACTCGATCCCAGAACCCCTTCCAGGCTGCTTAACCATGTTAATACTGTGTACCCAAAGAACTTACCTCTCGTGCCGCCCTTTTCTCAGCTTTCTCCTGTAGTTTCTTGAGTTTCTTGGCACCAATCTTCCCGTCACCCTGATTCAAAGTGTCTGCGATGTCATCATCATCCCCTTCGAACATCTCCTCATCTGAATACAACACAGACAGTTGTCATCATTATCAGAGAGATACCACTAACAATGCCAGTAAGGAAATGACCTTTAATCTGATCATAAATTCAGAGGTTTACATAGTCCTTTCAAAATGGGAGTCATAGACTCACCATATATATACATATTCAATTTGATTTTAGTGTAGAGAAAATCAAGAATCATGAAAACAATTACCACCAATATATATATAACAAGTAATTTTTGCATGGTCCTTGATTTTCTCTAAAAACATTTCCTGATTCATGATTATCTCTACATTAACAAAATTTCTTGGCAAATTTACAGTGTCAGTTAACAAAATGGTTAAGACTAAATTGATCTGCCAGTATATCAGCACATTATGGAAACTACACAGGCATTACGTGTCATAGAAAATGTAGAATTTGAGTTTTTAACCTGAATCATCTCTATTAAGTCTCATCCTTCGGCGTGGTCCTCGTCTCCTGGCACCAGGGGGAGCTTCAGCAGCACGAGGTCGGTTGACCTGCCGAGCTTCATCTCTTTCATCAGGTTTCTTTGTTGCTGGAAGAACAACAAGATAGGAGCATGTATTTGATCGAAACACAAACAACAATGGCAATAATGGTGATTCCACTGCACGTTAACATTAATCACAAAGTATACATTTACTAAATGAAATAGACTATAGACTTCAAGGAACAATGATTTTGGGGAGTACTGCACTTTACCGGGTGCACTTTTTCAGATTAATTAGCACTGCTGGGGTTCCCTAACCCTAACCCTTACCCTAAGGATCGTAAAGGGTGCCTAACCCTAAGGATCGTAAAGGGTGCCTAACCCTAAGGATCGCAAAGGGTGCCTAACCCTAAACCCTAAGGATCGTAAAGGGAGCAGAGAGGGCTGTGCCCGGTAAAGTGCATTCTAGCCTGATTTTGAATTAGACCAAAACCAAGAGAGCCTTTTATTTTGGGGATGGACTAAAATGGGTTTGGTGCAAAACAAGAATTACTCGTTTACAGTTTACTGATCACCAACAAAAATGGCTGATTACAAATTACACACTGCTTTTGTAATCCACAACATAATATGCAAAAATTATAGGTCCGTAAGGAGAAGATATAAGAAACAGAAGAGACATGTGATTCTGTGACAAGGTAGACTAGGTAGGCCTAATTATCCGGTTTGACTTTTTCCAAATCAAGCAGCATCTTCATTTTTTACGTAATGCAGATATCGATGACATAATTTAGCAACAAGTGTTCCATGAATGAGAATTGTCAGATTTAGAAGTAGAAGGTTTTTGACACGCCAACGAATTCCCATATTGACATTGGGATTTTCGTGCCTGTACCACTGTGAACAGCTGCTTACTCCAGTCGTGCAGTGTGTGGGATGTAAATATGGAGGAAAGATAAATCTTACAGCCTGAAATACTTACAGGAGCGGAATTTGTTGATGAGGGTGACCACCACCAGAATCAGTGTCACAATACCGGCAGTTACAATGTAAATAGTGAACTGATCTACTACTGCCATGTTTTCAACTTGCACAACTCAAAACCGGAAGTGATTGCAAACAGGAAGTCGAATTAGTGGCGGGTATATTGATACAAAACACGCGCGATTTTCTGAAACGAAATACGCATCGATACTTTCTTTGTAATTACTTTTTTAATGAGTACAATTTGTATTGTAATTATGCCAGAGTAGGGCATCCATTTTCATAATCTTCATAGTTGTGAATTGCGAAGCATGCTGTGTCTAAACAATTAAACAATTCCGATCTTAGATGTTAAGTTCAGTTGACAAAAACCTTACCAAGTTAAATGTTTCTGATGAGGATTTCTATAAATATCAGAGCAATCTAATACAATGAGCTATGGCCAGAGAGCGACATACTGTGTATCTATCATTTTACGGGCGCTTCGCTGTCGTGGAGAGACTCTCAAGTTAAACAGTCTTAATACGGAAATGTCTTTTGTATTGTGAACACACATCTTCAATAATAACACTCTGTCGATCTATTAGTCAATATCAGACATAGTATCTCATCAGAACTATAAATCAAGCAAATTTATATGTACCCATGTCTGGTATATACACTCTGTAAGGAATTCATTCTTGTATGAGTCGGCATTTCAATTCATGATGTGTCGATAGAATTATTCGCTGTTAAGCGAACACATTTTATTTTTTTTTAAAGATTCCAAGCCGCCATCATTTACATTACGCCTCGTCAAAATATTCCAGTTTAGAAAATATTAATCAATATTATTATCAATTATATGATATCTAATATTGTCATCCTTCTCCTTATAGATATGAATGGTTGACAGTCACGTCACAGTGAATTTGATTTTATACTAGATTCGCAAAGATTATGATCATGGTTTGGGGTCACAATGTCCGGTTTTTTGCGGGCTTTAGGTATAGTCCGTTTGACTTCATTTGAGACCGATGAATTGCTTACTAACACAAAATCTATTAAATGCAACAAAATCATGAAGGAAACAGCCAGGTAATCAACAAGCGTGTATAGTGAAATTTCAATTTCATACGTGCAACTCGCACACCTGGATGTTCTACCAGCAAGTGGTCCTCCCTCGTAAGAAATAGCGAACAGTGACAACAAAATAATGATCGTTTGTTAAACAACTTGTTTATTTGGGTGTCCAAAATTATGAGACAAATCATCAGAGTTGGTCTGTCGATTTCACGTGACCGTGCAAAATTTAGTTTTGGTGCAATTATTAGATTTTGTGTTAGTGAGCAATTCATCGGTCTCAAATGAAATCAAACGGACTTTGTACGTGGTAAGTGGGCACGGATGGTCCAGTGGCCGATTGCGCCACATTTCGCCTGCAGAGTTGCGTCCCTTGTGCGTGCAATGATCCCATGATACTGGGTTCGAATCCCGGATTCTCTCTATTGTGGCCGTTGGTGTCTCAGTTTCACAACCGTGCCCGTGGTAGTCATTAAACAGTGAAATACATGAAATTCCATTAAAAGTAGCGTTTTACCCAACTCACTCACTCATGCACGTATGATACTGTAGAGCACACAACTGGTAAACCATAACCTTCTATATTCAGGGAAATTTGGAACCCACTGTGCAGTCAAGAACATCAGAGTTGGCAAATGACGGGGTCCCCGCGTAACACGACCAACTCTTTTGATTAGGATTGGGCGATAATACCGGTTTACCGGTATATTGCAATTCGAACTTCACAATACGATTTATTGCGGTACACTTTTCGCGAACCGGTTTACCCGATACGATCGGCAATTTCCGTGACCATGATCGGTAATTTTCGTGATGCAGTAAAAAAATACCAGTAACATTTGTATTTTTTGTATATTATTATACATTAATAGTTTTGGGAATGTTTATTGGTCATATAACCGTATTTGCATGACTTTTAAACCATGTAAAAAATAGATTGGTACCGAAGGCAGCCGCCTTTTCTCGAGTTCCAAGCTTCAGAGCGCAATCTTCTGTTTGGAAACATTTTCAACTGGTCTCTTGTACAATCACATCTGAGTCCTGAAAGTGGCCACTGGAATTGTCTCAAAAGAAATGAACAGTAATTTCATTACCCTGAACCATGTGTTACACTTTCACAATATATTGCAATACATATTGCAAATACGCCAACACATATCGCAATATATCGCAATATGAAAATTTTGGCAATACCCAACCCTACTCTTGTTACATGTATACAGCAACGCCAACACGTTTGACCGCTCATCATTCCCAATTCAATACTTTATATCCATTGTGTTACCCAGTCTTCATTGATAATTTAAATACTACAGTTTTGGCAAGGGCTTCATCCCTGTTAATTTACCTTCAGTTAAAACAAAATATCCACACGAGTGAGGATAAAAGCATCCAAAACACTAAACAGTGTACTAGATTCACATGGAAGAACTGTGTGGAAATCGTTTTGAATGATTGCATACTGAAAGGAACACTCCTTGATTTATTTTGTAAGATACTGATGTACAAAAGAAAGTACAAACCTGGTGTTTTGAGACTAGCAATGTTCCAATTGGGTACGATATCTGTTGTGTTATTGCAACACGTACACAATGTTTGTGACTTGTGAGTAACAATCAAAACACTTTTCTAAATATTACGCTGTTTTTAGGAAAACATTTTACCAAAGCATCAGGTGTGTACTTTTTTTGTACGTCAGTTTATATCATCTTGAGTAAATAACCAACACGTATCACGTAGTTAATCATAGTGCGAACACTGGGACATTTCGACTTTTTGTCGTATTGTGGCCTTTGAAATGCGTGTTTCTCACCAAGAGCCACCAAGCAACAAACGCGACATTTATCAATGTCAAAACATGTCACTGTCGCCTTTAGGAAAATATATTTAAAATGCGAAAAATGTCTAAAATCTCTCGTTGTCGCAATGTATGGGCTTGGTTAATTCTGACACGTTTTACTTGTTTTCCACTATGTGACAGTGCCTTTTCTAGGATACCATAGTAATAGACGATAAATTACGATGTAGGTCGACAGATAACAATGGCCGAAGTGTATTGTCACAATCATCACTTATATGTTCTTTCGGCGGTATCAATATATGCCTCTGCCCCTGGGTGACATTCCAGTCCTTGTCCACTATCAGTGTGTGCATTTGTGCATTGAAGACCGACTGTTCCTTCTTGTCTAGTATCAGTGTATACATGTTTACATTGAAGACCTACTCTTCCAGCTTCTCTACTATCGGTGTATGCATGTTTAGATTGAAGACCCACTGTTCCTGCTTGTCTAGTATCGGTATATGCATGTTTCCATTGAAGACCCACTCTTCCTTCTGTGTAGTATCTGTGTATACATGTTTACATTGAAGACCCACTCTTCCAGCTTCTCTACTATCGGTGTATGCATGTTTACATTGAAGACCCACCTGAAGATCCACTGTTCCTGCTTGTCTAGTATCGGTGTATGCATGTTTACATTGAAGACCCACTCTTCCTGCCTGTATCTTGTCATTGAAGTATCGGTGTCGGTGTATGCATGTTTACATTGAAGACCCTTGTCCTATCGGTGTATGCATGTTTACATTGAAGGTCTTGTTCCAGTATCGGTGTATGCATGTTTACATTGAAGACCCACTCTTCCTTCTTGTCCAGTATCGGTGTATGCATGTTTACATTGAAGACCCACTCTTCCTTCTTGTCCAGTATCGGTGTATGCATGTTTACATTGAAGACCCACTCTTCCTCTTCAGTATCAGTGTTTGCATGTTTACATTGAAGACCCACTCTTCCAGCTTTTCTACTATCGGTGTATGCATGTTTACATTGAAGACCCACTCTTCCTTCTTGTCCAGTATCAGTGTATGCATGTTTACATTGAAGACCCACTCTTCCTTCTTGTCCAGTATCAGTGTATGCATGTTTACATTGAAGACCTGATTGTTCCTTCTTGTCCAGTATCAGTGTATGCATGTTTACATTGAAGACCCATTCTTCCTTCTTGTCCAGTATCAGTGTATGCATGTTTACATTGAAGACCTGATTGTTCCTTCTTGTCTAGTATCGGTGTATGCATGGTTACATTGAAGACCCACTCTTCCTTCTTGTCCAGTATCAGTGTATGCATGTTTACATTGAAGACCCACTCTTCCTTCTTGTCCAGTATCAGTGTATGCATGTTTACATTGAAGACCTGATTGTTCCTTCTTGTCTAGTATCAGTGTATGGATGGTTACATTGAAAAGCTGATTGTTCCTTCTTGTCCAGTATCAGTGTATGCATGTTTACATTGAAGACCTACATTGAAGACCCACTCTTCCTTCTTGTCCAGTGCAGTATCAGTGTATGCATGTTTACATTGAAGAGTGTGCATGTTTACACCTGATTGTTCCTTCTTGTCTAGTATGTGTATGCATGTTTACATTGAAGACCCACTCTTCCTTCTTGTCCAGTATCAGTGTATGCATGTGTATGCATGTTTACATTGAAGACCTGATGCATGTTTGCATTGAAGACCCACTCTTCCTTCTTGTCAGTATCAGTGTGTATGCATGTTTACATTGAAGACCCACTCTTCCTTCTTGTCTAGTATCGGTGTATGCATGTTTACATTGAAGACCCATCAGTATCGGTGAATGCATGTTTACATTGAGGACCGACTGTTCCTTGTTGTGCAGTATCGGTGTATGCATGGTTACATTGAAGATTCACTGTTCCTTCTTGTCCAGTATCAGTGTATGCATGTGAAGACCTATGCATGTTTACATTTCCTTCTTGTCTAGTTTACATTGAAGACCAGTGTATGCATGCATGTTTACATTGAAGACCTGATTGTTCCTTCTTGTCCAGTATCAGTGTATGCATGTTTACATTGAAGACCTACTCTTCCTTCTTGTCCAGTATCAGTGTATGCATGTTTACATTGAAGACCCACTCTTCCTTCTTGTCCAGTATCAGTGTATGCATGTTTACATTGAAGACCTGATTGTTCCTTCTTGTCCAGTATAAGTGTATGCATGTTTACATTGAAGACCCACTCTTCCTGTTTGTCTAGTATCGGCGTATGCATGTTTACATTGAAGATCCACTGTTCCTGCTTGTCTACTATCGGTGTATGCATGTTTACATTGAAGACCACTCTTCCTTCTTGTCCAGTATAAGTGTTTGCATGGTTTCATTGAAGACCCACTCTTCCTGTTTGTCTAGTATCGGCGTATGCATGTTTACATTGAAGATCCACTGTTCCTGCTTGTCTAGTGTCGGTGAATGCATGTTTACATTGAGGACCGACTGTTCCTTCTTGTCTAGTATCGGTGTATGCATGTTTACATTGAAGACCCACTCTTCCTTCTTGTCCAGTATCAGTGTTTGCATGTTTACATTGAAGACCTACTCTTCCTTCTTGTCCAGTATCAGTGTATGCATGTTTACATTGAAGACCTGATTGTTCCTTCTTGTCCAGTATCAGTGTTTGCATGTTTACATTGAAGACCCACTCTTCCAGCTTCTCTACTATCGGTGTATGCATGTTTACATTGAAGACCACTCTTCCTGCTTGTCTATTATCGGTGTTTGCATGTTTACATTGAAGACCCACTCTTCCTGCTTGTCCAGTGTCAGTGTTTGCATGTTTACATTGAAGACCCACACTTCCTGCTTGTCCAGTATCGGTGTATGCATGTTTACATTGAAGACCACTCTTCCAGCTTCTCTACTATCGGTGTATGCATGTTTACATTGAAGACCCACTCTTCCTTCTTGTCCAGTATCGGTGTATGACATGTTTACATTGAAGACCCACACTTCCTGCTTGTCCAGTATCGGTGTATGCATGTTTACATTGAAGACCACTCTTCCTGCTTGTCTATTATCGGTGTATGCATGTTTACATTGAAGACCCACTCTTCCTGCTTGTCCAGTGTCAGTGTTTGCACGTGTACATCACAACCATACCTGTTTCCATCCAGTATCAACTGCTGCAGGTTCACATGGAGAACGTGACTCTATCGACAGTGTTAGTCTCACTCTTTCTCTCTCTCAATCTCACACACAATATCTCTCCCTGTGTGCACGTAACAAAACAAAAACAACTTTAATTCAAATATTTATCATTTATTTCGTGAAATACAAATGCATTTCAAAACACTGGTACGAAACAAGCCTTGTAATTAATAAAATAGGACGGCTGCCGAACTTAGCAGACAAATGACTTCTGAAAAGATGATAAGATACGACAAAGGGTGCCATAAAATATATACAATGTTTCATTTTACACCAGTATGTTTGTAGAAATTTGTCAAATACGCAGTCAAACGAGTTTCACAATTATAAGATTAACAATGCACAGCCAATACGAGGTGCTCCGTGTGTGTGGCGCGTATATAGTACTATATATTTGCGTCTATCTACATGTATTACACTGTACTACTTTTCATCTGCTTTGACTAAAGCTACACACTAAAAACTGTAAACAAAAAAAAATTCCACATCAAGCTGAGACGCTCTGGTGTAACTGAAGTAACACATTCCTACACTAGCTAATATGAATCTGAAATTTGTTTTGAAATGAATTTAAGGCAAAATGTATTTTCAATTTATCGGCTGACAAAATATTAACATTACAGGTGTATGCATACCGTAACATTACATGTGTATGCATACCGTAACATTACAGGTGTATGTATACCGTAATATTACAGGTGTATGTATACTGTAACATTACAGGTGTATGCATACCGTAACAATACAGGTGTATGCATACCGTAACATTACAGGTGTATGTATACCGTAACATTACATGTGTATGTATACCGTAACATTACAGGTGTATGCATACCGTAATATTACAGGTGTATGTATACTGTAACATTACATGTGTATGTATACCGTAACATTACAGGTGTATGCATACCGTAACATGACATGTGTATGCATACTGTAACATTACAGGGGTATGTATACTGTAACATTACATGTGTATGCATACCGTAACATTACAGGTGTATGCATGCCGTAACATTACAGGTGTATGCATGCCGTAACATTACAGGTGTGTAACATTACAGGTGTATGCATACCGTAACATTACAGGTGTATGCATACCGTAACATTACAGGTGTATGTATGCTGTAATGCATGTAAAATTACATGTGTATGCATACCGTAACATTACATACCGTAACATTACAGGTGTATGCACCGTAACATGTACATGTATGCATACCGTAACATTACAGGTATGTATGCATACCGTAACATTACAGGTGTATGTATACTGTAACATTACACAGGTGTATGCATGTGTATGTATACCGTAACATTACAGTATGTGTATGTGTATACCGTAACATTACATGTGTATGCATACCGTAACATGACATGTGTATGGATACTGTAACATTACAGGTGTATGCATACTGTAACATTACATGTGTATGCATACTGTAAAATTACATGTGTATGCATACCGTAACATTACAGGTGTATGTATACCGTAACATTACAGGTGTATGCATACCGTAACATTACAGGTGTATGCATACCGTAACATGACATGTGTATGCATACTGTAACATTACAGGTGTATGTATACTGTAACATTACAGGTGTATGCATACCGTAATATTACAGGTGTATGTATACTGTAACATTACATGTATGTATGTGCATGTATACTGTATTAACATTACAGGTGTATGCATACCGTAACATTACAGGTGTATGCATACCGTAACATTACAGGTGTATGCATGTATGTATACTGTAACATTACAGGTGTATGCATACCGTAACATTACAGGTGTATGTATACTGTAACATTACAGGTGTATGCATACCGTAATAACATTACAGGTGTATGCATACCGTAACATTACAGGTAACATTACATGTGTATAACATTACAGGTGTATGTATGCACGTGTATTACTACAGTGTGTGTATGCTGTAACATTACATGTGTATGTATACTGTAACATTACAGGTGTATGCATACCGTAATATTACAGGTGTATGTATACTGTAACATTACAGGTGTATGTATACCGTAACATTACAGGTGTATGCATACCGTAACATGACATGTGTATGCATACTGTAACATTACAGGTGTATGTATACTATAATATTACATGTGTATGCATACCGTAACATTACAGGTGTATGCATGCCGTAACATTACAGGTGTATGTATACTGTAACATTACAGGTGTATGTATACCGTAACATTACAGGTGTATGTATACCGTAACATTACAGGTGTATGTATACCGTAACATTACAGGTGTATGCATACCGTAACATGACATGTGTATGGATACTGTAACATTACAGGTGTATGCATACTGTAACATTACATGTGTATGCATACTGTAACATTACAGGTGTATGCATACTGTAACATTACAGGTGTATGCATACCGTAACATTACAGGTGTATGCATACTCTAATATTACAGGTGTATGCATACTGTAACATTACAGGTGTATGTATACTGTAACATTACAGGTGTATGTATACTGTAACATTACAGGTGTATGTATACCGTAACATTACAGGTGTATGTATACCGTAACATGATATGTGTATGCATACTGTAACATTACAGATGTATGCATACCGTAACATTACAGGTGTATGTATACCGTAACATACGTAATTCCAGCAAACTGTGTATATGTACATACAAATATACGCTTACAGAAACCGAGAGCATACACTTTTAATCTTAACTACAGACTGGTCATCTCTCGCGTCACACAGATGAATAGTTTACATGTACATCATTACTGATAATGATATCTGACAATTCCCCTTATCTAAACATCCAACAGACAATAACGTTTCAAACCATGGGAACGAAGATACAACATACTGATTTATGAAAATGAAACATGATCATAATAATTATATGTTGTAAAATAAAACAATCCCCGAATGTCATTCTGGTAACACCATCGGTGAAACAAACAGTGCTTCCATTATCGCGTCTGGAATAAATCACCGGAGCAGAGCTTTTGTTGAGTAAAGAGATCATATTATGTCAACTGAGGGAAGCTTTTATAGACGCTTCATTAAGTACTTGTCGCCCTTGTTTACAGACTGATCAATCATCCGTTCGGTCGCTCGTTACGATCAACATTCTAACTTCAGAATGGCCAAAGGGCTATTCCATTGCAACCAACATTGCACTATCGTAGGTCGTATTTGAACCGAACACGAACATATGCCACTGAACTGTCTGTCCCCTTTAGTTCGTCAATAACCAACTCAGACTAGCTCGTCTACACAAAACTCTGTAAACACTATGTTTAAGACGAAGACGTTTCCGTGTCGGTCGATACATTAGCGGCACTGTGTTCCAATACCGACAATCGGCTTGTCTTGAACTGGTGATCATTCTACATTTCAGGTGAAGTGACTTCATGCTTTAAAGCGGCAGAATAGTATCAATCTACTGATATCTCGATACATGAATTATAGTCTCTAGGGCTAACATAGGGCAGAATTGTATCAATCTACCGATATCTCGATACATGAATTATAGTCTCTAGGGCTAACATAGGGCAGATATTGCATCAAACTACTAATATCTCGATACAAGAATTATGGTTTCTAGGATTGTTATAGGGCAGATATAAAATTGCATCGAACTACCGATATCCCGATGCATGGATCATGGTCCCTGGGAGTAACATTGGGCAGATATTGCACCAAACTACCGATATCTCGACACATGAATTATGGTCCCTAGGACTAGAATCCCATGCTTTCAGCACACAGCAAAGTGGGAGTTTCACATGGCTGCATTTGATAAATTCCTGATATATGAAAACACCAGATATTCAATATTTCATTGGTGCATGATATATAATTTGTGCATGCCTGAGGCACCTGGAACTGCAAATACATCATTACGTTTCAACAGATTCATTTGCGTCACCATCCATGCTCTGAGCATGGCCGATGAACATCACGTTTTACACACCTGTGGTTATAGATTCGAGTAACTGCTATACAATGAATACATGCTAATGTATAAGGCCTAAACAAAGCAGTAATGAAATTGGGGCAACATATGTGCTTATGATGCCTCATGTGGTCTTTGAATATCACAATAGAACGCTAAAACGACACCACTTTTCTAATACAGTTATAAAAATATTGCCATAATACCTCAATAAAATAATTCCACCTTAGCTTTTAGCGTGAGTCTAGATTAGTATGAGTGAACATGTTTTTGAAATGATATTTCGTGAGGAATGTAACAAAAACGTATGTCACTGCTCTTTGAATGCACTGTATTGTAAACACGCGAATGGAAGGCACTTTCACTTTTCGCATTCACTTTGAAAACATATGCCGTCCGAAGCTATAATCACACAATATAGATGAGAATGAGATATTTTATTTTGAAAGACGTTTGTGAGTATCATCAAATGGTATATTCATTTAACCGGTGGGAAAACCGATTGACAACAATCACAGTGTGAGATAGCAAGCTTTCGCTTGAAAATACAGACATTTTCAAGTCCGTGTCACAGATAAGTAGAACGTGTTCTGCAGTTTAAATACTGTTTAAAACCAACAAGCAAATACTTCCAAAGTCTTACCTACCCCACATGTCTCTAAAACAAATATAATTAAATGTATTTACATATAAATCATTTATCTTTCTTATGTTGAAATGATTTTGGTTGGTTGGTTTGTCATTTAACGCCGCACTCAGCATTATTCCAACTATACGACGGCGGTCTGTAAATAATCGAGTTTGGACCAGACAATCCAGTGATCAACACCATGAGAAGATCTACGCAACTGGGATACGATGACATTCGTCAACCAAGTCAGCGAGCCTGACCATTTGATCCCGTTAGTCGCCTATTATGACAAGTATGGGTTACTGAAGACCAATGGGTTATTCTAACCGGGATCTTCACGGTTATGTCAAAATGAAATGCCTGCAAAACAATTTAGGGTGAAGAAAAACAATAGTTGAAATGGTATACCTATAATAAAGGTAAGTTCATTTGCTAACCGTGAGATCAACGTAGTGATTGTATTTACAATATCGATCTCTAGTGGTGAAAGGCGCCGCAATTTTCTGTGCAGAGTTGCCTCCCTTGAGCATGTCAGGAACACATGCTAGTTGGTTCGAGTCCAAGTTAGCCCCGATTATGTTTTTAGGTTTGTCAGCACCAAACCTATGTTGCTAGGGTTTACAGTTGTTAACTTCTGCATTACTTAAGAGATTTCCCCCCACGCTAATCTGGCACACCGTGATGTAACTATGTAACTGGAATACAGCCCAAAGAGACGTTAATCCCAACTAACTCCCACGTTTTACAATAAGCCATCAGAACACCCTATGTTTAGAACCACTGTCCTATGATTCCGTCTAGGATCGTCTTCCGTATAGTCTAGTATATCTTTGATAATCAAATTCATTCCTGAAAAAAATGACAAATACAATAAATTGCATTTTAGCTCCAATGGTATCGACAACAGCTGGACTTATCAATATCACACATGGACCAACATGTATATGTCCATACCAGTTGTGAACATAGTTCGTTAACGCTTTAAGGACATAACAAAGGACACATTCTTACATCAGCATTCACCTTTTGTTCTTCATGACGATGGAAACGGACTTGCTGAACCATTGCAATATTTTACCAGGGAGACCTTGCTAGTTCTATAACATTGTCCACAACAAATACAAAGGTCACATATCGTTACTTATATCAATTTTAACGTTTATTAACGTCTCATTATGGTATATGTCCCGAAAAAGACATACTCTTTCAGAAACCTGATTACCTGTACAAAAACGTCACATTGAAACATAGAAGCAGTTTAAATTCAGTGATGAAGTCTGAAGTGACTGAACCAATTCTTTCAAATTGTCCTGAACTGGCATAGATCAATATATTTATATTTACAGACACATACCGGCTCAAACGGAATGTGTTGACAACTTTTTCCGGGGTATAATATGTTTAATCATGTATATTTCTGATGTGATATTTGTCATAAAATACCAAATTCTGAATGGTGACAATGGGACATTCAAAAACAACGAAAGTAGTATACGCACTGGTATTAATGACGTCACTGAGATATTGCACAAATTAGTTACAGGCACAGTGAAGATCCTGAAATTCCATAGCACAATACTCCAGTGAGTTGTCCGTGTAACACGTGAAAACATTACCTAGATTTGTATGTTCCGCATCAACCAGGAATAGACACAATCTAGTTGTAGATTTCAATTGTGACACAGAGCCATCATTCTCGTGAGTAATGTATGTAGATGTCATGTTCTTGACCAACATGGAATAGACACAATCTAGTTGGTACAGTTCATCTGTGACACAGAACCATCTTTCTTGTGAGTAATGTATGTAGATGTCAAGTTCTTAACGAACAAGGAATAGAAACAATCTTGTTGGTACAGTTCATCTGTGACACAGAACCATCTTTCTTGTGAGCAATGTACATGTATGTGGATGTAACCAGAACTTCATGTTCTTAATCAACAAGGAATAAAATAATGTTGTTGGTACAGTTTACCTGTGACACAGAACCTTCCTCCTTGCAATTTATGCAGACGTATTCAACACTGACATGTTCCTCATCAATCAGGACTAGAGTATATCTTGTCGTATAATTCGTCTGTGAAACAGAACCAACCATCCTGCAATTAAGTTATGCTGACGTAACCAGAACGGCTTGTTCCTTTTCAAAGAGAAATAAGCACAATCTAGTCGGTACAGTTAACTGTGACACAGAACCATCCTTCTTGTACTTTATGTAGGCGTGATGAACGTTGATGAACGTTGACATGTTCCTCATCAACCAGGAATAGTTACAATCTAGTCGTATTGTTCAACTGTGACACAGAACCATCCTTCTTGTACTTTATGTAGGCGTGATGAACGTTGACATGTTCCTCATCAACCAGGAATAGTTACAATCTAGTCGAATTGTTCAACTGTGACACAGAACCATCCTTCTTGTACTTTATGTAGGCGTGATGAACGTTGACATGTTCCTCATCAACCAGGAATAGTTACAATCTAGTCGTATTGTTCAACTGTGACACAGAACCATCCTTCTTGTGAACGTTGACATGTTCCTCATATGTAGGCGTGATGAACGATTGACATGTTCCTCATCAACCAGGAATAGTTACAATCTAGTCGTATTGTTCAACTGTGACACAGAACCATCCTTCTTGTACTTTATGTAGGCGTGATGAACGTTGACATGTTCCTCATCAACCAGGAATAGTTACAATCTAGTCGTATTGTTCAACTGTGACACAGAACCATCCTTCTTGTACTTTATGTAGGCGTGATGAACGTTGACATGTTCCTCATCAACCAGGAATAGTTACAATCTAGTCGTATTGTTCAACTGTGATACAGAACCATCCTTCTTGTACTTTATGTAGGCGTGATGAACGTTGACATGTTCCTCATCAACCAGGAATAGTTACAATCTAGTCGTATTGTTCAACTGTGACACAGAACCATCCTTCTTGTATCCTTCTTGTACTTTATGTAGGCGTGATGAACGTTGACATGTTCCTCATCAACCAGGAATAGTTACAATCTAGTCGTATTGTTCAACTGTGACACAGAACCATCCTTCTTGTACTTTATGTAGGCGTGATGAACGTTGACATGTTCCTCATCAACCAGGAATAGTTACAATAGGCGTAGCCGTACGTGTTGAACTGTGATCAACAGAACTCATCAACCAGGTACTTTATGTAGGCGTGATGAACGTTGACATGTTCCTCATCAACCAGGAATAGTTACAATCTAGTCGTATTGTTCAACTGTGACACAGAACCATCCTTCTTGTACTTTATGTAGGCGTGATGAACGTTGACATGTTCCTCATCAACCAGGAATAGTTACAATCTAGTCGTATTGTTCAACTGTGACACAGAACCATTCTTTTCGTGAGTGATTTAATATACACTGTCAGACCAAATCAACATGAAATGTTCCTCATGAACCAGAAGTAACAACAATTTAGTCGTATGCTTTATCTGTGACACAGATCCATCCTTCTTGTGAATGATTTATGTAGACGTAACCAATGAGTTATGTAGACGTAACCAACATTGACATGTTTTTCATCAAATAGGAATAAATAAAATCTAGTCGTATGTTTCATGTTGACACATAATCATTGTTCTTGTGTGCAGTTTATGTACAAGCGAGTCCGGTAATTCTGCGCAGCTGCAAATAGCGTACTTTCGTATTGAAGGTACATCGTCTTCTACCACATTTACGCTTAAAATAGGGACATTTCTACAAGGGACTGGCTTTTAATCACTAAAGGTAAGTAAATAACAGTAATTGACAGTTAAATTGACATTTTTATGAACATTCGTTTTCTTCAGACTTTTAAACCTTTTTCTTCATTATTCATAATTGGATATAATATGAAACACTCTTCCTTATATTGATAAGTGATTTTTGAAAATAATCTGGCCCTAATACGCTTCCATACTTCGGATCTCCAGCTGGATGTTATGCGCATCAGTTGCTGCGCAGAATTACCGGACAGCGATGTCGTCAGAACGCCCGTATGGCATAATGCAACGTTAGAATCTTATAGTCGTTAATAAAACTTATATTTCTAGGTAAATATGATGCATACCAGCATGTGTAGCCACGTAAACCACCAAAAATAAGAGACGTTAGTTGCCGCATTGCGATAGATGTGCTTAGGAGCGCGGAATTACCGGACGTTATTGTAATCATAATCAGAAGGACATCTTAGTCATCAGCAAGGAATAGTTGGTACATTTCAGCTGTCATCCAGAATAATCCTTCTTGTTGGTACTTTATGAAGACGGTAACCAACACCACGTGTTCCTCATCAACCATACTGGTATCTAGCAATTTTACGGACGAATGTCATGGTTTAAAAATACGCTACCCACATACTAGGTAGTAGTGGGTGTTTTCTCGGGAGTTTCGGAAATGGGACTACTTTTAGGGGTTGCCGTCTCAGATTTGACGTCATCTGAAGACGGGGAGCCTCTGTTTGATGAAGGAGAGTCTCGCGTTGACTTCCTTTTGACGTGTGCAAAATCTGTCACTCTGTCCCTAGCTTCTGTCACCCTCTCTTTAGCTCGATCTTTAGCTCGGTCTATAGTCTTGGAAACCTCGTGCATCTTCTCCTTGGCCTCTTTAGCCTTCTCCCTGGCTTTGGTTTTAGCTCGGTCGATATTCACCTTAGCTTTATCAATGGTCTTGGAGAAAAACTCGATTGCCACATTGACGCACATTGACACAAGCGAGAGGCCAATGAAGACATATACTGACGACAGAAGAAAAAACTTGGGATGGGCAGGAAGAACATCTCCGAATCCTATGGTACTGATGGATATAAACACAAAGTAGAATGATTCCAAGAAGGACCATCGTTCCCACAAAGCATACATGAAGGCCCCGAGAAAGATGTACAGTACAAGAATCCCTATAGCCACAGAAATCGGAATATTGAATTCGTCATCAATTTTGTAGCCGTAGTACACCTTGTCACCGGGTTTGACGTCAATTGTCTTCGTGGCTTTGTCACCTTCAACGTCATCCGTGGCGTATTTACCTCTCCGCGCGTTCCTCATCTTCTTGCGGCAGTTACAGTAGCGTCTACTGAAGGCCCACAACAGCTTGAGGCCCAACGTGAAGTGTTTCCCAAGGTCAGCCAGACAGACAAGAGCAAGGGGGATGCCAATGGCGGCGTACACCATTGTCATCATACGACCCAGGTCAGTGGAAGGAGCAATGTGGCCGTAACCTGAAACACATAAAATTATTTTAACATAACTTTTCAGTGAAGAAATAAATCCAGTGGCTAAAGTGTATAACTGTTTAAAGCCCGTTGCGATTGGCCCCCTATGCACAGACTACAATTCTGCAATAACGTTTAAGCATACCACTAGAGTATCCTCAACTGTTCAAGTGTCGAGAACATATCTCTTGTGTTTACTTTCGGAATATCCGAGTGTGTTTTACGATGGATAGATTATTTAGTTATAATTTTTCACTTGTTATATCAAGATCGAGTAAATGGAAAAATAGCTATGATTGACTCAGGTCTATGGAATTTGTACGTAGAATGAATTCATGTCATTGCCGAGGAAATTGAATTCGTAACATAATACACACATAACATAATGTCAATTGAATGTATTAACATGTAATGCGCATGTACCAAATGTATTGGTACTGATACAGTGGTAGAATAGTCCTTAATTTCAACTGAAATAGTGCAATTCCATGTGACCTAAGAAGCGATGATTCCATGTTTATTCCTCCATATTAGAAAAAGGGCATCCCAAATTGCAGAGTACTGTGTCTAGATCGGCTAATATGGCCGTGGGAGGGGTCTGTGGTGCCTTATTGCGCTGACAGATTACTCTGAAATTGTATCGTTGACGTTTTTTATTAAAATAGAATATGGAGTTTTTCGAAGTGTTTGGTTTTCAATGTTATATTCAGCGTCGTCATATCAAGGTGTCGGCGCACTACCCATTATTCCTGACGTCACAGTCGGTTTGACGTGACATCGTTCAGGATCCCTTTACACAAAGTGATATTAGCATTCCCATACGTTAACAAGCACATACGACAGGTGTATTATTATGTTTTGAGCAAGGTGGAACTGATGTCTTCACTTGTGTTCGTGAAACATATTCTGATTCATTTCCCCAGAAAGCAGTCTAAGGGTAATATACAATCTAACGCAGGTCGGAATTGCTTATCATTTGTCTTCCGTGAAGTATCGCTACAAATCCATCATCAAGACAGGTGACCCTTGTCTTCCCGGAGCTCGTAGCTTATTCCTTAAACTGATAACCAGACCGTCGATTGCCATCACATTATCACAAATAGCTATTTGTAAAAGAAGACATTATGCGAGAAAACGTGCCAAGCGTTAAAGCAGTGTTAATTCATCCCCTAGGAGACGTTTGCAATGCATTGATGTGAAAGGAATTCCGCCCAAGAATCGGATTTCAATGACCGAAGTCTGTAGGGATTGTTTTTTGCATGCAATATTTGAGAAACAAATTACCAAATTACGGCTTCATTTCCATTGAGAACGGATTGGATAATGAGGTTGTCCAACTTGGATCAGGTGGTAAGCATCAGAAACAGGATGCAAGTATGGAGGAGGCAAAGATGATTTATAGAAAAAAAAGAGAGCCATTTAAGACGCGTAGAAAAGGAACATAAAGGAAGACCCAAAAAGAAAGAGATAGAAAACGAGTAGACAGACATAATGACGAATAGACATGAAGAAAATATTAGCGAAATAAAATATGTTTCTTTGACCAGGTACGTGGAATCCAGGTCTCAGTGTCGAATGCAGATATTTCTATTTCCTTGTATCTAAAAGTAAGTACTACCCCACATAACAGCAAACAAACAAACAAACTAAATGCAACATACAAGCTATAATAGGAGACGGGGCAGCGTGGTAGCCGAGAGGTTAAAGCGTTCGCTCGTCACGTCGAAGGCCCAGGTTCGATTTCCTACATGGGTACAATGTGTGAAAGCCATTTCTGGTGTTCCCCGCCGTGATATTGCTGGAATATTGCTAAAAGCGGCGTAAAACCCAACTCACTCACTATAGTAGTACATAATGTTACAAGTAACGCCAAGTCCTAAACCTAGTCTGTCATACAGACCCGGAAGCATACATATGTAAAGGAGCATATATCTAATGCAGCCTAGAATATGTGGCCAGTCTACCTTACCACAGTTTCTGAAAATCAAAATAGTGTCTTGGCTCCTCCTTTTCATATTAATGAATACAATTTAGGAACCATGTTCTGTAAAATATGTTTATTTCAGAGACGAGATGTTCGTCTAACCCAACCCACAAATTTCATTAAGTTTCTATAACTCACGTGGAACAAGCAAATGTGATTATTGGAAATAGGAAATCCTGCAATGATATTTAGAAAAGATAATTCAGATGTATTGCAGACAGACCAGGTCTCTATAAAGCTGTACAAGCCCTAACCATCACATCTGGCTAGAGATGTACACTGGCATTGTATACGTATTGGAACGCCTCTTCGTTCTCTTTGAATAAACATTTACGGTAGTTCGTGCAACCAAATTACCAGAGAGCTGTGTGTTTCGAATTTCATGTACGTTTACACAATCGTAAAGGTAAATGAAAGTGTATATATATGTGACCTGGATGATGAACAATATTGTCTGTCTACATTGTTACAATCAAAGCCCTAGACTGTCTCACAGTCTCTGAACCGCATTTCCCCCCTTCCGCTCACTCCTTTCTGCGCTGCTAAAGCCCTAAATGAAGCAAGTCTAGATGTCCTCAGGTTCTGAATCTCCCATCTCACTGGGCTTTCAATTTAAAAGAAATTATTTGTTTCCATCATAATTATATATATTCAGAGACAAAGCGTTAGTCTACCACAGTGTCTGTATTGAAACTTGTTTTGAACCATTCATGATGCTTTCAGCGGATTCCAGAGCATTCCAGAGCAAATTATTATAGGTTCACATTTACCGTTAGTTTTACATTAAATTTTAATTTATCATATCACTAATATATTCAGAGACTAAGCGTTAGTTTACCACAGTGTCTTTATTGAAACTTGTTTTGAACCATTCATAATGCTTTCGGCGAATTCCAGAGCAAATTATTATAGGTTCACATTTACCGTTAGTTTATTTAATGTACCATATCACTAATATATTCAGAGACTAAGCGTTAGTCTACCACGGCTTCAATGCATCACTATGGTAATCAGCGACCATACACTACCGAACCCTATCCCTCTCATACGTTTTGATGGAAGGGTACCTTCAGGACAGACAAGCCAGTGTGTTGATAGAAACACACACGCTAAACGCCAAAACAGAACCAGAGCTCCAAGATATTGTCTAAACGGTTCCGGTCAGAACAGATCCCTCGCAACCTGTGTGGTCGTAAGAGGCGATTTGAGAGATCTCGTAAATACGGAGCATTGTAAACAATCTGTTTTCTCTGGAATCAGATATACCACATACCAGAGAGCCAGGCTGCCGTTAACCTAAACAATGTATTGCTCTGCACTGATGCATGAATATTTCATGACTGAAACACACGTGATAACACAGCTGATATGACATAATTATGTACATCAATGTACTAGTGGCCTAATTACGTCAATCACATGTACAGTGTATGTTCCAAGATCGTTCTACAAGATAGCTCATGTGTGTATGCTACAGTCAATGTATTTCAGTCAAATCATAATTTACGATTTCAGAAATTGCTGGATCCAATTAGTGACAATATAAATTGCCTGAAAATGTCATATGTCAAGTATTTCTTTGAATGTATTCTGTTTAACACCACAATGTTCTCGCTTTATTACAGCGGTCTGTAAATAAGTCTCAGACAATCCAGTGATTGACATCATGAGCATCGATCTACGCAAGTAAATCACGATCACCTGAAATGTTTTAGCCTTACCAACCGACCCATTTAGTCGTTTCCCATGACCAGCTCTAAATATTTTTATTGACTCTGACATATACATGCAGGAGTTATCGGTTTCTGGATCTAGCTTGTTAATGTCAGAATCGGTATGCTGTTACACACAAAGAAACAAAGAAACAGGATGTAGCACAACACATAATGGGGCAAGGTCAATGTATATAATGTTGAAATGCCAATGCAGCTCAAATCATCTTCTGAAGCGTTGGTGGGGAATGAGTGAGTATGGTTTTACGCCGCTTTAAGCAATATTCTAGCCATATCAATGAAGGGGACACCAAAAATGGGCCTCACATATTATACCCATGTAGGGAATCGAACCCGGGAATTCAGCTTGACGAGCGAACGCTTTAATCACTAGGCTACCCCAAAGCCCCGACGGGAGATGAGGGTGAGCTCTAGCCCAGGGGAGTAAGTGAGTGAGTGAGTTTAGTTTTACGGGGCTTTTAGCAACGTTCCAGCATTATCACGGCTGGGGACACCAGAAATGGGACTTCACACATTGAACCCATGTGGAAAATCGAACCGTCCCGTCCAGGGGAAGATTACTTCCAGAACCAGAAAAATTGCAGCATTTATTATCCTTATTACAAAGCGTTTCTATAACTACACAACCATCAACCGTCTCCTAAAATCAGAAGAAACATTTTTTTAGAAACGGTGCTGGAAAATAAACATATATTTGTGACTGTGTATTTACTAAATGGCTGTGTTCAACGGTTGAGGTGTGCGAGAAAAACAATGTTTACAGTTTTACTGCTGCAGGATATAGGCATTTCAACAACTACATGTACACCGTTGTTTTGTTATCCCCGCTCGCGTCCTTGTTTCAACCCATTAAACATATGGGAAGTAGGTCAACGGTAATGTGTCCTGTTTGTTTGATGCATGACGACATAGCCAGCTGTTGGAATCCGGTGTGGCGAAGGGCTCTGTTGGGGGTCCGTGGTTTTCATACTTTCACGGATAGTTTATTGCCATCATTTGTACATAATGGTTACTACAAATTATGATAGAAAAACAACCCAGAATATCTGTATTGAAACTTGTTTGGAACCATTCATAATGCTTTCAACGAATTCCAGAGCAAAGAATTATAGAGTCACATTTACCCTTAGTTTTACATTTAATTGGCCTTATCACTAATAGAAGATATTTCTTGAAAGAATAGAAAACTGCCGAGTTTTGCAATCTCCGCAGCACTTTTTGTCCAACAAACGCGACTTTTCGCCAGCGCTGATTTTCTCGGTAGACGAAGGTAATTAGAGTGCAGACAT